ATCTATCTATCTATCTATCTATCTATCTATCTATCTATCTATCTATCTATCTATCTATCTCCATGAAATGCTATGTGAACTAAAATAAGGTAAATGGGCAACCTATATTCACTGTTTATTCATTCATTTAACACAAAGCTAACGTTTACAAAAACAATTAGTTGCTTGCTTTTAGGTTATTTTGTGCAAAATTGTTCTTTATTGCAGCAAGTTGATTTATTGTCCTTATAAAAGCATCCGTTCCTGATGAGTGGAAATGAGCAAATTCTTATTAAAATAATACATTTATATGTTCAAAGTGGGGAAAAAATCCCTGAACATATCTTGACCTCTAATTGATTTTATTGCGAGAATAATTGCGTTACAATAAAAAAAAATGTGAAAACAAATATCCTCCGGCAGTTAACCGAGCCAGCATCCCTGCCTCATGAAAAGTTTGATCTTTGTCCTGTCCTCCCTCTCCATCTCTCTCCCTCTGCCTCTCTGTTTACCTTCCCTGTTTGCTTTGCTGCGGCTGGACCAGAGCGCGCCCGCTCGCGCGCATGCGCACACCCAGTCCGCGCACACCTTCCTCCTCGCGCCCGAGAACTTCACAGAGAGAGCGGCTCGAGCGCTTCAACGAGACCCTGACTTTCTACCGGCTGTTTTTAGCAACGAAAAGACGGTTTTAGACTGGTTTTTGTGTGTGTTTATGATTTTTTTCGATCGGTTGTTTATTGTTAACGTCACTTTAGCCTTTTAGTGTTGTTTGATAAACACAGGAAGATGAGTGAGGACGAGGAGAGACTCAGGGAAATCCAACCTGATCCTGTCTGTCAGCTGGACTGAAAGTGTCAGGAGATCGAAGATAACATCCAAGCAATGAGGTAGGATTGTCATCTGTCCTTATCACCCATTAAATTCACTTTTAGTGAATTAATTCCCTGTTTTCTTTTCAGTTTGGAAAGCTAGTTTTCTGTTTTACTAATAAATTGAAGTCCAAACTCCTCCATTTGGAGTTCTTAGTGTATTAATCATTTTTATCAAAAGTTCAACATGTTGACTTTTTTTTTTTAGGCTGTCTATGTTTAACCCTAAAAATATCTTAAATTACCATAAATGTACCCTCCAAGGCTACATTTGCATTAAATTCATCTGTGATCATTTATCATTTCCATTCCATATATGCTAACAAGTTGGTAGCTTATATTTATTTACCTTTTTTACCATCCAATATAGGTCACTTTATGTATTTTAATTCTTTACTGGCAGGACAAAGGTCTGGGAAACCTTACTGGATCATTTAAATAGTATTTATTTATCTAATTACACACAAGACGCCTAATCATGTATAACTTTATTTTTTTTTTTTAATCATCTTTGTTTGTTCTTAATATTTAAACTCATAGAGGAGATTTTGTTACAATCTAGAAGTTTTTGTTTTAAATGGGGTGATTTATTTCTACATCTAAAGTGAATGTTTCAATCATCTGTTCCCAATGTTTAGTTTGTTTTGTCCCTATCTAACCAACAAGTAGAGCAAAAGAGACAAATAGAGCAACAGAAATACCCTATTCTTAGATAAAGTTTGATTTTTAGCTTTGGTGATTTCCCTTTTTTTTTTAGGACTTTGCTTCTTTGACCAACAGATTACAGTAGTGAAAGTACCAGAAAGGAGGAAAGGATACTAACAGAACAGCAGCTCATTAAAGATTTATATTCATTTAGTATTGCATGTGCAGCTTTTGTCTGATCCAAACTGCTTACTAACAACAAGAGATCTTCATTTAATGTAAAAGTGTGCAGCATAAAGAAGATGAGCTACACCAGGCAGGTGAGCCGAGGTGAAATTGATGATGAATTACAGCTTAATCCCTGTTGGAACGGCGATATATCAGAAATGGTATCACTACAGGATAGACAGATTATGATCTACTCTAATCCTAGCATTAATGTGACACGGTAGTCGACAGGTTGCACGGAGGGGCTGTAGTCACGATATGGTGCTGCCAGTGGTTAGGCACAGAGGGTGGGGTTTTTTAATGTTTTGGTCAAAGTCAGGTAAAGAGGAAGAAGAGCCAAAAGAGGGAAGCTTTAGAAAGAGAGCTGGTCTGAAGCTTTGACTGTAGGTGACAATGAGAAAAAAAATGTTTTTAATGCGAACTGGGTGAGTCACTGACATTTCATTGTTGTACACACCTGAACAGCGGTACAGTATGTGTGCGGTGTGGAGCAGGCATGTGTCACAGGGGAAGAGCACACAGGTAGACTAACTAGTTTTGCATAATGGGGAAATGTCTCATAGTGGTGTGTTATGAAAATGGCCCTAAAACCAAAGCAAGCTACAGTCTGTGTGGGCTGTTGTTTTGCTTCTCCTCTAAAATCATTTTTATAGTGATTATAACTCGGTTTTCTGTTTGATTTATACTAATTTTGCTCTTTCTCTTTTGGGCAGAAAGATTCTTCTTCCTCATAGCATGGCAGAGAACTCATCCAAGGAGATTATGTTTGAGTTAAAGATTCCTTATCGATCCCTGGGACCTTAACAGATCATTGTGCTCGCAGAGATAACGGTTGAATAATTAAGTAATTCAATCTCTTAGTAAACAAGGGTTGGACTCTTACTGAAACAACTTTTAACACAGACTGTGAGAATAAAGACAGACTCACAATGCCAGACGAGTCCAGAGCTTTGCAGGATGACTCTGGGCAGGCGGCCTTGGTGCCGAACATTGTTGTGATTTCCAGTGAGGGCAACGGCAAAGCGAACACCTTGGAGCTTGAGGATTTCAGCCACAAAAGAGACGGTCACAAACCAAAAAGCGTCACCTCAGATCTTACTGACGGGAGCCAGTCAGGAGTTGCCGCTTCCCAGGTTGCTGTGGAAGTGGGTGAGGTGAAAACCGCACATGTTCCTGAACCTCTCAGGGCTATTTCTTTGACAAGGGGAGGGGAAGTGAAGTCACAGGGCACTGATCAGGAGCCTCCGGTCAACTCATCCAGCCATAAGCTACAGACTGACATGAATCCTCAACTGCAAGGGAACAGCTCCTCCGACTCGGACTACGGCAGCGCCAAGTCCAGCCCCGGTTACGCCTGCAGCAGCTTTAGCACGGACCTCTACGATGGAGAGCTACTGGAGCTCGATAAAAGGACGTTAGAGAAGACAAGCTCCATATCTCCCATCAATCTGTCTGAGACCAGTTTGGATTCGGACAAAGCAAACAAAAGTAACCTGGATCTTAACGGGGACGACTCCATGTGGGACAGGACTTGCACACCCAAAGACGAGAACTCCATGAATGGAAGTTCGCCTGGTTTGTCTGACGCTCCAACCGAAGTCAGCCGAACCAGAGACAGTATGGTCATAATGTCCGAGCAGGACGACGAGGATGATGACGGACAAAGCATCCAGTCCAGACGGAGTGTGAAGGAAGGGGTGTGTTGCTGCTACCAGGCCACCAACAGGGCTTTCATGCGCTGCGTGGAGGAGACTCCTGCTATGCTACCTGGGCTGGTGCTGTCTATGATCTTCTGCGTCGTCATCATTGTTGTCATTCCTGCTACAGAAAGGGTGAGATACAGCATGAGTGCTCTTCTGCTTGGTTTTGGGGAATGTCGATCCAATGGGTAGTTGTTTCCTTTATTCCAGGGGTCTCAGACCAAACCCTAGGCCTAGCTCTTTAGTAGAGTTTGACCAGTGCTTAAAGTTGCAGGATACCGGCCTCTCTAGGATTTGAGTTTGATGCCCCTGTTGTAAGAAGGCTTATTAATCAATGAATAAGTTGGTTTCAAACTTTATAATGGCTGCTCTTCTCCGCAGAAACGGTCTCTAATATATTTCTTAATTGGTTTATGCAAATAAACCTTCACAATTTAGCTAGTTCACCCAGGAATAAAATATTTAAAATGAAACAGAAGCTAAAATAACATGCTGAACACAAATCAGTTTACACTAAGTGGGTAATTTTTCTGTATTAAATTATAATCTAATAAATGATGTATTGCTTGCAGCCAGGTCTCTGTGAGCAGCCCCTCTTAACGCTTTAAGAAACTATATCATAATATATCCCGGTTTAAAATTGTACTCCTGTTATTCCCATTCAGAATGCCTTGCAAATGCATGTATATCCCCTTTAAAAACCTTAAATATTTTCCTTCATCATAATTGCAAAACTCATGAGATTTTATATAACAGATCAAAGACTATGGCTATTAGCAAAGTTATTAATAACCAACCAAATTTCTTTGACAAAAAAAAACTGAATCCAGCATGAGTGATAAACCATTCACTGCGTAAAATAAACACAAAAGACAACGGGTTGAAATTACAATTGCAGCTTTATCAGCAAATAATCACACAATGTTATTATTTCTAATACCTCTGCAGGCACTAAACACAACTGAAAATAAGCACAAATAAACAATGCAAAAGGGGAAGAGCGGTTTAAGAGTCAGTTTGAGAGTCTCTGAGAAATGTTTGAGTTTTGAGGCTTAATGCATTTGAAAGTATCCTTAAAAATAGTAGCAGATAAATGTGAATAAAAGCACATAATGGTAAAATGGAATAAAAGTTTTGAAAATGTGGAAAAAAATCTGAGATTATGGACATTTTCTATACTTTGTATTATTGCTACAGTTGCAAGACTTTTGTGGAATATGTCTTTCAGCTCTGCTTATCTAGAAGCTGGATCTCCTAAAAAGCTATAGCTCAATAAGATTTGATACCAGAAACCAGACAGAAGAGAACTTTAGGCCTTTCTGGGATTTATTAAAGGCTTGAACATGATTTTTACATCCGATCCAACAGATTATTGGACAGTATGAGGGAGGGGTGCACCGATTTATCACCCGGCCAATCGATCGTCTTCGATTTTCTTAATGTCGGGAGATCTGTGATTGGTTGATGTGACACCAGTCTTTTCTACCAAACTGATCTACATCTGTAAAGGTCTAAAATCCACCCACTGTCAACACCTTAAACTTGAATTTATATTCAGGAGCAGTTATTTTAGAAGTTTTAATTGTATCACAGGCAATGATAACTATTTTTTCAGTAAAATAAGATTGAAATACCTTGTTTCTTGTGATCTTATAAAAACTGAGTTGTTATAAAAATATAGATTGGAATCTGCATGTCAGGCTTTTGAAATATCGTGAATCGGTGATCAGCCAGAAACCAGTAATCAGTGCACCCCTAGTATGGGGTCGTATCTGTTACATTTCACTGAAATGCATAAAGCTGGTCTGATTGCAGATGATTCTCTGCGTAGCTCCAACCGACTCCTAGTCTAGTCTGGTCTTACCTATGCAGGAATTTGATGGGAACATCATGAGTCAGACAGGAAGAGAGAGACGGTGGCAAAATAAAACACACCGGATTTTGGGGTAAAAGGTAGAAAAAGTTAAGGTGAAGCAGGCAGGTTTATAGGTTCATCTGGAAACAGACAGTGCAGCTTTAGCAAGTGGAACAGATATGAATACAGGCAACCAAGAGAATAGAAAGCAGAGGAGGAGAAACTATGTCCTTTTATCTTCTCCCATTTTAACGTCCACAAACCTGCTTCCATTTATGCTGGGGAAAGTTCTGGGACATACGGAAGAGGATTAGGGACACTGAAAAAAATTAAAAAAGTTAACTGATTTTTACAATTTATTTAAGTATGCTATCAGAAAAAAGGTCAGAATTCTGAATTTTTTCTCACAATTCTGACCTGAATCTCAGAATTTTGACTGAATTCTTACAGCTAACAGAAATGTTAGCATCAAGCTGTAGCCATGTCTGTTTTAACTCTGTTGTTTTAATCATCTTCTGCTCTTCCATTAATGAAATAGCATCACCACCCCTCGGGCACGTAAAAAGCTGCCTAATTCATTTTCCACCAACCTGTTACTGTTCCTCCCAAACAACTCACATCTTTGTCAGTGAAGCTGAGCGCTCCCACATCTTTTCCTTCATGGTGCCCATCTACAATAGGATCCAAAATTCAGAATTCTGACTTTTTTCCCTTATTAAACTGAAATACATTTTAAAACCAGTTAACTTTTTTTCATTTTTTTCAGTGTCCCTCATCCTCTTCCATAGGGACAGACCCTCCCTCTGCCCAATTATAAATCCCATCAGAGCTTTTAGAGTCAGACTTAAGCAACTTGTTCTGTCCTTAACACAGAGATGTGCTCTAATCTAACCCATTCATCTGTACCTCTGGTTGTATATAGGGCTGCACGACTTTGGTGGGAAACCCAGTTTAAGCGTATTATCGCCATCTAAAGGACTGGAGTCAGAATGTGTTTGTTTTGTTAAATATAATGCAACCAAACTGAAGTGCTTCTGCAATTTTAAAAATTGTGTTTTGCAAAAAAAAAAAATGTAATTCTATTTCCGATGCAATTAAAAGCTTGGCCCAGGATGTATCTTGAGGGTCATAATCCTGCTGAGAAAAGCACCTCTGCCCCATACTAAAATATTTTGGAGCCTTTTAAATGTTCCTTTAAAGGATGGGCCTGTATTTAGCTCTGGGAAGCTTAGCTTTAGAGAAGGATCCCTGCAACATGATGCTGCCACTGCCATGCTTTTTAAAGGTAATCTGCAAGGCTAAACTAGTTAAATATGTCTCATCTGATCCAAGCACCATATTCTACACGTTTTTCCCACATGGCTCCCTGGAATCTACAAATATAACGCTGTGGTTTCCTTTTTACAATGCCCAGATTTATGTAGAGTTTAGCTAGTAGTTCATTCCACAGATTCTCCCACTTGAGCTGCAGATCTCTGGAGCTCCTCCACTGCTGTCCTGTCAGCTCAGGTTAACCTCCATCTTTCTAGGTTGTCAGTGGTGCATTTCTCCATTTCTTTGCAAATTACAGTTCAAAGCTTGGAATATAGTCTTGATGATGCTGTTTGCTCTCTAACCAACCTCTAAGGCCTTTACTCCTGCAATAATGCAGGGGCTTGTTGCACTGAATTGATGAAGGAATAGCAGATTAAATCGCGGTAACAAGACAAACAGATATTACAGTTTAATTGTGAAAATAAACCACCTCACAATCATTTTATTCTCATCGAATCCTGAAAAAATAAAAACAGTTGATTGTCTCAACGACAGGAATGTTTATATTACCCAGATCCTGTCCTTCAGGATAATTCATGAATCTTTTCTACAAGAAATGTTCCTTGTTTGCGCTGAAACTCCCTCCGTTTGAAGAAACTTTTACTCTGTTTACTGGCAGCACCAAAAACAACAAAACATGATTTTTGAACGCCTGAAAAAGCATAAACAAAATCAGCTGATGGCGTTTGCCATCTTGCCAGTTAAAACTGTTGTAATGGGAGACGGTAGCCTTATTGTGGCGGCAAATCTGGAGACACCACATACGTCCGGCTGACGAAGAGCACATCGTTCAAACCCTGATTAAGTTAAGTCTCTCTAGAAACCTGCGGCCATATTTAGAAATAAAATCCTTAGAAAACATCACTAGTGACTTAGATCACTACCAGGAAATAAAAGCAGAAGAAATCCCTTTAAAAGCTCTGAAACCAGAACATATGAAAAACCCTTTTGTCTTTTAAAAACTCAATGTTTTATTTTCTTAAAGAATTAAATGCCAGATTGTATTATGCAAAGACTGACTTAAAGATAGATTATCCAACGATCCCTTTACTTAACTGATTACTGACGGGATTGTTTGTTTCTTGCATATTTGTTTAGAAATGGAGAAGCAAAGACGGTCTGTCCAGTCAAAAAACGGAGAGCACCATTGGAGGGAAAATGAACCAGCTAAAACAGGAATTAACTTAGTATTTAATTAGGCTTCAAACCTGTTTATCCAGATCACTATTACATTCCTGTGCTTCAGGTTGCACTGTGTTTAACTCCAATAAAGCAGAATGTTCGCCCAGAGCGTGCAAACAACTTCACTTCCGTTTGAAACAAAATTTTTTATGTCTACCTGTGTTTTAAATGTGAATCCTGTCAAGTGAACATAGTTTGATTGAGGAAAAAACTAATTTTGCATCAAAATTGGAGGATTTTTGTTCTGTTTTATTAGTCTTTAGAGAAGCAATCCAGGGAACTTCTTTATCCATATGTCAACGTCAGAGCGGATCGGCGTGTACTACGTCAGGACTTCCCCATTTAGTTATCTGCACCTCCCCAACACGTCACACCTACGCAGACCTCTGCAGAAGTAATTATCATGTTAGGTTTTCTATATTTAAACCGCACCCTGTTATGATAACGTGCGGGGAGGTGGGAGGGAAGGTGAATCTGACTGTATGGCCATTAGTAACTATACCTAAAAGAAAAAAGGCCATGGAGTATAGAAGCAATTATGAAACGCAAGGTAATAAGGATATATAAGAAAGAAAAATCATTCAAGTAATAAAAGTTTGACTTTATGTTCCATTAAAATTATTAAAGCATATTTTTGAAAACATTATACCAGCAGTTTAATACTGTCAGATTTTTCATGCATCTGTAAAGAAAAAAAAAGCTTTTAATTCCAACCATTTTTTGGAATACAATAAAAAACACAGCCAAATATGAAACTAGGTCAGAGCAAAGGGAAGCCTGAATTACTGTGAGGGACCGAGCCGGTTAAGCATGAGGACACAGGACAGTTTTATTTCCCAACACAATGAACACAGGGCCCTTAACATAAAACAATTTTAAACAAAATCACCTACCAAACACCAACAACACCCTCTGATCAGACCAAACTGATACACTTGGACAGGGGAACATCTCTTGACTCATTTAACTAACAAAAAAAACCTTTGAGTAATAACTTAAATGACTAAAAACTAAATATACAGTTAACCAACTAAAAAAATGATAAACCAAAGATCTAAATGGTCCTCCCCCATGTTGGAGCTCTGAATGGTATGACCCAATCAGCACAGCTGGGATTGGAGCCCCTTAATGAGTTCTGCTTCTGTTTCAAACGTCCCCACCATAGCACAGGAACACACAGCTACGGTTAAAGGGTTTTTAACGTAATAAGATATCCAGGAGTTAATTTAAAGTGCTCCATTTAATTAGAACTGATGTATTTTAATACAGACAGATAAATAAACTACACAAAACCATATTTCTTGTAAAGAGTGTGCAAAATAAAGAAAAATAAAAAGTGTTGGTGCGCAGGTTTACTGACTGTGTGGCCAAAACATTTACCTGTGATGGATTTGTACAGGAAATTTATTTTAGCTTTTAATTTACGACCTTACAAAGCTCTCAAAGCCGTAACAGAGGAAAGGTGCTGCACAATAAAGGCCAATTTATGCTTCTGACATATAGCCTCTGTAACCGTTAAATCTGTCTCTGTGCGTGACCACGCCCCCGTGCAGAGGTTCTGCTACTATCGTCGCACACTAAAAGATAATCCTGACTACACGTCGGAAGGTCGCAAACCCACGCAGACCCGAAGCAGAAGTGCGCAGACAAAAACCAATTGTGATTGGTCCTTGGTATGCCTTTCCGGCTGTCTGTGTGGTCGTGCTTCTGGAATCGGTGCCGGGGTGCACCATTTTTAAAAACCGAGGAACAACTACAATGGACAACCTACGCATTCTGCCTTTTTCTTTTTGCCAACTCCATTAACAGAACCTGTTCCTCTGTGATTTCTAGAGACTCTAGATTCATCTCCGTGACTGTGATATCTTGCAGATGCGCCATTGTTGTTTTGAAAGATAAACACTCCCACCGGCACCGCTGAAGTTCTGGTAACCATCCGCCAAAGTTCTCGTGACCATCCACCGAAGTTCTCATGAGTTCTCGAATAGGCTCCCCTGGCGCTTTGGTGGGAAACTGCTGTGCGTCCCTAGAAATTGCAGAGCGACGTTGCAGAAGCATACCAGCAAACCTGGTTCACGACCAGACCCAAGCGACAATTGATGTGTGCGGTTGCAGAAGTATAATCTGCCCTTAAGGATGATTTCGGTTTGATCAGGGTTCATAATCTGTCAGAAATAACACAGTTATATTATCTTTCATAGAGGATTTACATTTAATACTTTTTATTAAGCAAAATATTGTTTCTATGGATTTTTCCAGCCACATTTTCTTTGTAAGAGCAGGATTTCCTTTACTTACACTCAAAACGTGTAACGCTCACATTTAACACTTCTTATAAACTCTTCTAAGTTCTAATCAGCTCATAGATCTAATCCTTCTTGGACAGAAATTTCTCCTCTCGTTTACTTCCTTCTCCTGCGCAAACCAGCCTCTGCTCGAGGTAGAGATATGCTTTGTAGTCAATAGAACAACAGCCTTAGAAAGGGTGTACTTGTTTTCTTCTATTGAGTTTGCTTGTTACTGCTTCCTTATAATGAAATCCCTTTTCAAATTTTTTCTTCTAACCTAATTGTGTGCAATAATCTTCGATATGCCAGATCAAATATATGAACTCATAGAAAAAAAAAAATTAAGAAACAATTTAACCCAAAAAAAATAGGCTAGTGTTGGAGTCAGACCATCTTCAGGCCTGAGGTGAACACAAAATCCCTCTTCATAGTATGCTAATCCTGCAGAGGCTAATTCTCCCTCCAACAGAAAATTTGTTGAATTTTCATTGTTGATGTTGGAATCACATGTTTTTATTTATTTTCTAATTGTTTGTGTTTTCAGCTTTATTATGTCCGAATTTATATTGCAAAGCAATTTTACTATCAGGAAGCAGTAAACAGCAAACTCGCTAGAAGAAAATAAGCACACCCTTCCTGATGCTGTATTTCTATTGGCTAGAACGGTTGCTATGCGACAATCTGACTCTAGTCTGAGAGAGAGAGAAAAAAAATCAGTTATGACGGGTTTACGAGTGAATCTCTGAAACTGCAACAATCTGATGCCCTTTGAGATTATGTCTCTTAGACCTCTTAGCTCCGCCTTAAATCAAGCACTGTGTTCTATCCAGATGCTGGGCTGTAAAGTAGATGTGTACCTGTCTACATAGAGATGGACTTTTAAACAAATAGAACAGTTTAAATGCGGTAGGCACATCTCAACTCATAGAGTGCAGCGCTGAGACAAGTCAAGGCGAAATATTGCAGAATTAATCAAGTTTAGAAAAATGAATCTAAATTTGCACAAAAACAAAGTATTACAGTGTTTTAGTATAATTAGATAAC